TCCATCTTGATTTCAGAGGTCAAAAACATTTTTCAATTTTTTTCAATCATAGAGTGGTTCTTCTTTTAAGAACATTTTGCTGGGAAAAATGTTTTGGATACGACGCCCCGTTATGGATTTTCTAAATAATATGATGTCAGAAAATCAGCCCAAAAGCTTATCTTATTTCTGTTGGTTACGCACCGCTGATTCTCAATTTTTGTCATCACTTCAAGATGTCTAATAATAATTTATTCGGAAACTACACCTCTAAAACAGTGATAAAGGTTCACATGATAAAGGTGCGTCCAAAAATAAAACTTCACACAGAATACAGTACACTAAAGAAAACAAAGTCTACCGATTCGTGAAAAAGGCCTATACTGTCACGAAAATATCCGCTTGTCTTGTGTGTGGAGTTGTCCACTTGCGGTTCGAACACTGCTTTTTATTATTATAAGATACTGTAAACTTTTTTTTTTTATTATTCAACGTTAAGATTATTGTTTAATTTAATATTTATATATATATATTTTTTTGTACGTTACCACCTTAATTAAGTTGGTTTATTTTAATCCTTTTCTCTTTAATTTTAAGATCGTTTTACATTTTGTTCATTTTATGTATATCTTATGGACGCACCACCTTGCTAGGTGTGTGCCACTGATCAAAAAGTGAGTGCCAATAAATACTGAAACAACCTTATTTGCATATCAATGAAGCACAAGACATCACAAACTAGAGAAAAATAGAATCCAGTCGCGTTTCCAATCTCCTTGTTGTTCTCAGATTACACTATATAGCCAAATACTGGATGTCCGAAGAAAGCACACAAAAATATCTTGACCATTATTATTTAAATTGATTTTAATCAAATATTCTTGCAAATGCCTCCTTCTGCACCTTATTTTACATTAACCATTTATTTTTAATACACAATAAATACATTGCAGATGCACGCAGGATGCAAGCAGATTTGGTGCTTTAAAATATTCTTATATTTTTTCACCGCAACAATAATCCATATGAGCACCTTCGTACCCTTTGAATTCATTCAATGTTAACTTCAGTCTAGACCTCGTGTAATGGTAAGGTGCACTACAAAAATTACTTTTTGTAAACATACTGGCATATCTAAAGTAATTGAAGTCTCGCACGCACGTTCTTGTTTGATATTTTAAAATTTTTCAACAACTATTTTGTTCATCTTTCTTTTAAATGTCGTCGGCTTTATGATTACCCTTCAGATAAATACTTAACTGCAAGTAGGATGTATTGTATATTGTTTTCAAAGTGTTTTACTTTTCAGAAAAGCACGACTAATAAAGAACAACACCAGATGCCAGACTATCGTTTTTGTGTGATATTTTAATTTTTTTTTAAAAACTATTTTGTTCATTTTTCTTTTAAATGGCGTCGGTGATCTACCTTTATGATTACCTTTCAGATAAATACTGAACTGCAAGTAGGTTAATGTATTGTATATTGTTTTCAAAGTGTTTTACTTTTCAGAAAAGCACGACAAATAAGGAACAACACCAGGTGCCAGTCTATCGTTTTTGTGTGATATTTTAAATTTTTTTTAAACTATTTTGTTCATCTTTCTTTTAAATGGCGTCGGTGATCTACCTTTATGATTACCTTTCAGATAAATACTGAACTACAAGTAGGTTAATGTATTGTATATTGTTTTCAAAGTGTTTTACTTTTCAAAAATCACGCCTAATAAGGAACAACACCAGGTGCCAGACTATCGTTTTTGTGTGATATTTTAAATTTTTTTTTAAAACTATTTTGTTCATCTTTCTTTTAAATGGCGTCGGTGATCTACCTTTATGATTACCTTTCAGATAAATACTGAACTGCAAGTAGGTTAATGTATTGTATATTGTTTTCAAAGTGTTTTACTTTTCAGAAAAGCACGACAAATAAGGAACAACACCAGGTGCCAGTCTATCGTTTTTGTGTGATATTTTAAATTTTTTTTTAAACTAATTTGTTCATCTTTCTTTTAAATGGCGTCGGTGATCTACCTTTATGATTACCTTTCAGATAAATACTGAACTGCAAGTAGGTTAATGTATTGTATATTGTTTTCAAAATGTTTTACTTTTCAAAAATCACGCCTAATAAGGAACAACACCAGGTGCCAGTCTATCGTTTTTGTGTGATATTTTAAATTTTTTTTTTTAAACTATTTTGTTCATCTTTCTTTTAAATGGCGTCGGTGATCTACCTTTATAATTACCTTTCAGATAAATACTGAACTGCAAGTAGGTTAATGTATTGTATATTGTTTTCAAAATGTTTTACTTTTCAAAAAAGCACGGCAAATAGGGACCAACACCAGGTGCCAAGCTATCGTTTTTGTGTGATATTTAAAAAAAAAATTTTTACTATTTTTATCATCTTTCTTTTAAATGGCGTCGGTGATCTAGCTTTATGATTATCTTTCAGAAAAATACTGAACTGCAAGTAGGTTAATGTATTGTATATTGTTTTCAAAGTTTTTTTTCTTTTCAAAATATACCGGATGCCAGGCTATTGTAGAAAAAGGTACTTTAGATAGAGGGCGTAAGGCTAAACACGGACGCCCTTTACGTATTTTCCGCTGGTCATTCTTTCGAAGGACGTCATCTAGTTCATGGTAGCAATTTTCGAAGATAGGATTCAGTTTTAAAGAAAGCCAGTCAGTCGGACCTTTTGTTATTCTATTCTTTTTAGTAGTTTACTGGACCGACAGTATGTTTTGGTACTCAATTACAAACTGAGGGTCCTGATGATGCCCCCTTAAGCGTTCTACTATATTTACATTAGGAGGAGATACAGGTCCGGCCTGTAATTGAGAGCGTCCAAGTTACGAGCGCACACAAGATTTGTAATTTCAGAAATGGGATACAATAAATCTCTTAGTACCTTGTAACTGTATATAAGTAAGTCTAATTGTGTACATAATTTATTCCTGAAGATAAACTAATAAAGTTCGAAATATAGAATTAATAATGGCTTGTATCTCTTTTTCGGAGTTTGTTTCATACTATCTTATAAATCTCAACTCTGTTAACCCTGAGGTTCTTACTCGGCCCAACACCAGTCCACTAACTATTACGTCCAATGGCATGTCTGAGTGCACTGGCAGTTGGAAAGAATTACATCAGCCCCAATGGCAAAAATGAGCTTTCGATTGCGCGACGACAGTAGGGCGTAGAACGTAACGACGTCACTAAGTCATCTGCGCATGCGAGAACGTTAAGGTCACCTTGTCGTGCAGATTCTGGAACGCAATTTGGCTATATCTACGTATGCAGAGAACATAGGACGCCAGGTAGGACGGTCACGCATGAGTGATTCCGTTCTAGAATTAAGCTTTTCAGAGTGTTAATCAAACTTAACAGCTGACCAATCAGAACAGGGCCAGGAATAAGCACGTGTCTAACGAGCACACGTGGTATTCCACAAACACACGTGCTTGACTATGTTTCGTGGACCTTAGCAACAATATCCAAGGGGCGGTGCTTTGTGGAAGGTTTTATTATTGAAGTTTGAAGCTACAAATATAAAGTCAAACGCAGAACTCTGCTTAACATCTTCTTGATGTTTATTATACAATGTGAACGTATATTAAAATAACATACAGTTTTACAAAAGGAAAACCTTCTCGGGCTTCAGGTGATATTTACAAAAGCAAATAAAATAATAATTAACTTTTATATTACAGATGAACTGTCTGTCATGAGCTAAAAAAATCCATATTTTGAACATTTGTGTATTTAAGTTAGTTAATAACTTACAATGAAAATTTTGAATTAAAAAAAATCCCAGTCAATTAACAGACAGTTAAAAATACCCTTACTATATTCTTTTGCATAGAATCTTAAATTGACGGGTAATTTTTTAGATTTTTCCGATTTTTTTTCAGTACATCTTTCATAAACAACAGATACATTTCATTGAATACTAAAAGTCACAGTTGAAGTGACAATAAGATGGGTGGGGCTCATGTATACACATGACCTCCACCCCTCACAATTCAACTTCTCCAACTGCACCCCTACTATTTCCCCGTTTTTATATATCATTAATTATTGTAATGGTTCATGAAACAATTTTTCAAAAAAGTGTATTTTTGAGAGTGACCAAAGAATATAGAATTGCAAGGTGTTCGACTGTCCTGACTTTTTTTATGCACGCAATTAAACGTGAAAAAAAAACGTGAAAAAAGTACTCCCACAACATAGAGGGGCCCTATTTACGAACCCCTTTTACGTTCTTTCTAAGGACGCCCTCCATGTAGTGATTTTTACGAGATAGGCATAGAGGTATAATAAGAATACTAGAGCGCTAACCGCAATGTATTCGATGTTCGAAATACGCAGAACTGTGTGTGTGTACCATCCAAGATGGCTACCATAGATTTAGCCAATCAAATTTCGCTAAGCGCCATCGTTTGCAAATGCGCCCTCAATTTACTCAGAAAGTTCAGTACNNNTGTAATAATATGTATACTAAGCCTGAAGGTGGCGCTTTCTTACGGCAGCCATCTTGGATGGTACACATACACAACTCTGCATTGCTCCGCCATCTTGTCAGCACTCTAGTTGTTTAATAGCTCTATGGAGATAGGATTGTGTTCCAACGAAAACTCACGAGTCGGACCTCTTGCGGTTCTATACATCGTTTGCACTGTTACAAAACCTACCATCATTGTTGTACATTCTAAAAATTGCCAACTGCAACAATTACACAATACACAGCAATAATTTTTCTCATTCTGGACAGTGCCACTAACGAGTAAGTTAATTTTAAGACGGAATCGAGTATGGGACGCCAATAAATTTAGTATGGCGCGCACTAAGCGCAATAAACAGTGAGTAACTCAAATTTCGGTCCTGGAACCCCATGATAAGCAAATCAGAGTATCGACAGCCATTTCTTGCGATCCCAAAAAAATAATACTAAATTCAGTGGTAAGAAAGTCAGTCACTTAACATGAAATACAAACATACAGTCACATATAGGTATTTTAGTATTACAAATTCTGATGTCAAGTTGTGGAAAATTCAATTTAACATTGCATACTGTATGAAGCACTGTGCCAAAGAGAACCATTTGTTAACAGATATCATTTTCATTTGTAGGCCAACATCTGATAATTACTCAAAAACAAAAACATTGCATATTTTAAGTAATCCATCTGTAGAGCAGTCACTCCATGTCTTTCTTTGATTATTATGTACCATTCCACTAAATTTAATGATCCATTCATTGTTAACAGACAGACAGCAGTAAATACGTAACCTCCTTGACAAGGTATTTTTGAAAAACAGTTTATGTTATTATTATTATTGCAATTGTAATCCATTCTCGTTCCTAGATTGGGAATTTTATCTTTTTGGTCACGTATCCTATGCAGACATCATGCTTTCATCAACTTGGCACTGTTCCTTTTAAATACCAAAATTGGCCTCGACACACACACAATGCCTAAAAATGGGGAGAATAAAATTTCACTTGAGTCATTAAAAACTTTTTTTTTATATTTTCTTATTTATGAAAACTTGATGTTATTAACAGAAGCACTGTTTTCTACAACCATCATAATTCAAATTGTTTAGTTAAAAAATGTGTTGCTTTCACTGGAGATAATTGGTACAGCCAACAAGCCTGTAAAATAGATTGTACATATTTTTGTTCATTTGTCCACTTGACACACATTTTTATAGTATATTAATAATAATATTATAAATTATAATTAATACTAATAAGTGTAGAGTAAAACATTAATGAACAAACTGCTTACCTTAACTACCCTGTCAAAATCTGCCTTGGTAGAGGGCTCTTTTCCTAAAACTTCTCGGAACTTGTCCGCAATACTATTTCTACGGTGTTTGAAATCCTTCAAGTACATATCTAGTAAAACTCCTCTAAACTGCAAGAGAAATGCTAAATATTTTATACCACTATCATAGATCACTGTCTGCCACAAAAACCTCTAAAAAACCCGCAAAGATTCAATTTCCCATTAGGACATTATTTTAAGCTATTAACATGTTCGCTGCCATGGACGCAAGTTCATGTCTGACAGGGTTTACTCAGGGCACCGAGGACCAGTGGTGGTGCCAGTGGGGGCAGGGGGAATTTTTACTCCGTCAGACTGGCATGGATCCTCGTCGTCCGAATAGATCGTCGGTTTAAAAATTAAAAATTAATTGCCTATCCAACTAACGTCATTTTGAATGCTAATCCCTAACATTTTCAACTAAAAGCACATTTTGGACCATAAAAAGCCAAAGATAAACTCTGAGCATGAACCCTACAAGGGAGTCTCTGTTGGCCCCCTGGTTCGGACCCCTCCATTGGACATGTCGGATCCCTTTTCAGTAAATTTCTGGTGCCACAGCTGCCAAGGACGTGATTTCAAGTCCGCACCTGTTCAACATAACCACTATTTTATTGCACGTAATCCCACTGGCAGAACACAAACTCTCGTCCTGGAGATTCAGGGAAGGACCTGGAAGTAATGATCTAAAAATAACTACCATGTTTGTGTTGATGTACATAATTTTCATTATGGTGGTGCCCTTAATGCCTTGGCATATGGGATGGGACTTGGAAAAAGGGGTTTGCAGTCAACTTGTTAATTGTGTAATACAAAAGTTACAACCATGTGATTTATCTTCTTAATAATTATAATGATAGAAGGTCCTTGGAACCCAATGAGTAAAATATATTTTTCTTTCAAAAATGTATAGAAGAGTAAGGCTAGCAAAAGCAATAATTCTTTTGCCTTTCGACTTACATCATCAAAGTCATCGCCTATTTTCCTGAAAGTAAACAACTTGGAATTTCCTGTGTAGTTTGGAGGCCACTGAAAAATTATGAAAGAAAAAAAAAAAAGTGTAATACATGAAATACAATTAATATTATACAGATATTGCCTGCTTAGAGGTGTAATACAACATTTGATATCCCCGAGGGATAAATATCAAGAACTTTTATTTAACTTTTACACAATATCTGTTATATTACATAGCCAAAATACTTCATATTACCTTCACTTTTTAAAAATATTTCTGTAGTCTGTAGCGTAGCGTTATCATTGATTTTTTAGCATACAATTCACCATTTGCTCTCCTTACCTCAGCGTAGAATGACCGGAGAAAAGCATTGAGCTCTGGTGGTGTGAAATTTTCAATGCAAGTAATTGATGATTCCCTGGCCTTACAATATCCACTGAGTAGGCCTACATTAACGGATGAATTCACAAACAAATTTTGTACACCGAGAATCCTTTTCGTCAATAATTCTGTCCAATTCGTATTCGTCGAGAGATTTATTTGAAGCCGCCATTTTTGAGGCACTAGGCTTACACCTTCACAAATCGTGAGCGATCGATTGTGCACTCAACTAGCATTCACTACGGGTGCAAATGCGGGTGTAATCCGGTGACGTCAGAGACCGGTCACTTTTCAAAGTTATATTTCCCTAGGGGGAAATTAATGTTTAGATCCTCGTAGCGCCAGTCACATGATGCCATTTCGACCAATCACATACTCATATTTACATAGGCTATGCAATATATTCAAATATTTCATTATTGTGTATTGTTAAGGATGTTAAAGAGTGAATTTAAATATCAACTTCCAAAAACAGAACTTTAAAACTGAGCTTTGTTTGGCGCAGTGGGAATGGTTTGGTTTCCCAACTTCGAGGTCGGGGTTTCAATCCTTCGCTGTGCATTTCGCTTGAGTTCTTGAGCAAGGTAATTTATCTACATTTCTTCAGTCTTCCTAGCTGTATCAATGGGTTCAAGCATATTGCTGGGAGTAACCTACGGTTCACCAGCGTCCCACCCAGGGGGAGCATTGCTCTCATCTGCTTCATGCTACAGAAACTGGGGATAAACTCCTGGCCCTATGACCCCTAGTGGCTTGGCAAGGATTTAATTACTTACTTTACTTAAATGATATACAATATGCACATTAAAAAACAAATTTGTTGCGAATGTATTTTAGCTAATAGGAAACTTTCAATTACAAAAAGTAGTAGAACGTAATGATGTCACCAAGAAGTCATCTGCAAATGCAAGAATGTTTTAAAGTTCTTGTCGAGTGGTTATAAATTGAAAACCATTAACCATTCTAGGATGCAATTTGTTCCATAAAAAACATAGTATCAACTGACTCATGCCATCATCATCATTATCATTGTGATTATTATTATTATCACCATTCTTGGAGTAAAAAATTTACTGCATTGATCACTATTAACATCATCAACTTTTAAAACGTATACAACATAATGGGCTATTCGACTGGTTCACAATTTTTCGTTGAGTATTACTTTCATTTGAATGGTTCGTAAAATAGACTTCATTGCCAACAAAAATTAACGTAAACCAGAGTGCGTTAATCAGCGTTAAGTTATCCACATGATCAAAACAAACATGGCTGATTGGTCAGTTTAGCAACAACATTTGTATTAATATAATTTAGATTAAATTTCAGAAAACAGAATTCCAAAACTACATGGAAACATTTTTTTACGAAAAAACCATACTTCCAAAAGCCAAAGCAATCTTGATTACGCAGCGTGTATCGCGGAAACTATGCAGATATTTTGTTTTGTGTTTTGTCGAGTATTTACCAGTTTTCTATTCGACTGGTCGTCTTCGTTAAGTAGGATTTTACCACTGCGCAGGTGGGCATGGTTTAATGAAGAACGACTAGTGGAATACGACCATTATATCCCAGTATTAAAAGTAGATAGAAGTTCAACAGAAGCAAAACATCTGAATAATCACATGGCCGAATGAAAAATGAAATAAATGATAGGAACTCAACCAATGGCCTAAGCATGCCCCTTTTCAGCTCTTTCGGCATCAATTTCTTATAGAGTACTAAAAACCTGACTATAATTGCATAATATTTTAAGGATGTTCTTATCTAATGATAAATAGGTTACTGAGTATTCCAGAAATTGACAGATAAAAATACATACTGCCACGTTGACATGAACTGCTCCAGCTTTAATTGCACATTGTTCAACCTGGAAGTCGGACAAACTGACACTCATCTCCCCCGGCAAGCTCTGCGCCACCTTCAGCAATGCCAGTTTCTTCAGATCGGTCAGTGAAAGGATGGAGTTGGCAAGTAATTTCTGCCGTATAAATTCCTGTAGTTTCAACTGCTGAGTGTGGAGGTCGCTAGAAGGATCACCAGCGGAAGCTACTGCTGCACTGTCATCAACATTCAATGCTCGTGCTGCAACATTCTCCGAGGAATTGTGGTTTGCTATTTGTGGGTTTGTTGGACTATCAACATCCATTGGTTCCGACTTTGACAACGACTTCGTACGGGGTCGAGAGCGATTTGCTAAATTTTAGAAAATGACATATAAATCAAACATTAAAATATTTACAAATAATTAACTCACATGACTGTTAGTGGAAATTTGTTGAGCTTTGCTATGATTTAGTTATTTGGATATTATTGATGGAGATTTGGGTCAGGCACATTCTTAACATACTATATTTTAACTATATTTTTTTCACATGGTCACCAACCTCCATGAGACAATTGATAAATAAAGTGGTAAAAATGTTCAAATATTATGAATTTGCGGAAGACTGGAGATTTGTGCATGCTTGCGCAAGTAGCGAGGCCGTTCCAATCAGAGAGAATTGGGACACTTGCTGATTGGATGAATTATGTGCTGTAGACAGATCTATACAGAGGGTGTGAAAATACAGCACTTTGAAAAGTATAAGCAACGAGATTTCAACATTATACTGTACAGGCTGTGGGTTGGAGGCACAGTGGGAACGGTTTGGTTTCCCAGGCTCGTGGTCGGGATTTCAATCCCTTGTTGTGCATTTCACTTGTGTCCTTGAGCAAGACACTTAATTTGCATTGCTTCTCTCCACCCAAGAGTATAAATGGACACCTGGAGGGGTTGCCTGCTCCTGCGCTGGTTACCAGCAGCAACACTTAGCATGTGGACATAGTGACCAGGGAAAAGAACCTGCGAAAAGAACTGCGCAATAAATGCCCATAACTGTACCAGTAATGATTCAACAAAACAAGCATCCAATCCAAATGGGCAACACCAAGTCTGATCCCAGATCCATAGAATTGCTGTATGTTTTCCCTTACTGTTTTATATGCAAACAAGTGATTTTTGATGAATAATTTTTAGAAATCTAAAACCTTTCAGAATATAAGCAGTATCTATGTTTCATCAATTATGAAAACTGTTTTTTTTTTTGGGGGGTGGTAGCACACAACAAAAATTTGATTTAAGGTGATTTTTAACGTTCAGCATGAATTTTTATTTTTTTTGGAGGGTGAACAAGTATCAGTGGGTCACAATCACCCACTCCCCGGTATGCCACAACCAAAAGTGCCCTCAAAACTTTTTAACTGCTTATATGTATACACACTGTTGTAGTTTTGCATCCCACAGCATCCTCTGTCTCTGTACAACATCAGGGAAACTGTTAATGAAGTGTTCATCTGTGCTGTATAAAAACACCCAGCCTTGACGGGCTACAGGGCGAGACACGTGCGACATAATTTCCTTTACATCATCAGCTGGTAGCTATAAACGTAAAGAGTACAAAGAAGAAAAATGATAAAGTATTTTAAGTACAAAATGCATCAGATTTATTATATTTGTACAGTTACAAAGAAACTTATAAATTACACAAAAGTTAAATGTATTGAAACTTATATAAATGTTGTCTAATGATAAATAAATTATATAATTACACACAAATCAAATGTGAAAAAATGCAACAACCAGGTCAAAAGATGCAATAAATAGGTTGAAAACCAGGTCAAAAGATGCAATAACCAGGTCAAAAGAAATTTTTGTAGGTATCTCATTCATCTACTTATATATACTTTTTTATATTAATTATGGCATGAAATAAACTCTCAGACCAAATTAATACAATGTTTATATGTTTCAATTAACGACTTTCAAAAAACCAGTGATTATTTTTTTTTATGTTCTCTTTCATTTTTCCTTTCAGAGATATTTTTCCTTTTTGTATCTTCTCCACTTGTAAAACCAGTGCTGTATTACTAAAAGTGACACTTTACAGACAGAAATAACAACCTTATTGTTGAATAATAAAACAAAGTATGGTATATTAAACAAACAGTGGGAAGGGATTGTGGTGCTATACTATGTTTTAGCATAGAGAAAATAGATAGAACACAGGCTACAGCCAGTAGAACAGGGAGCAGAGGAGATAGTTTACATACTTTTGCTGAATGTCGTAATTTACATGTAAATTATCATTTCATTTCTACAAATATTTAAAATACAGTATTACACTAAACAAATTACCTTTATAATAGCAGCTAGATCTTTCCTTATGATACAGGAATTCTGGGTAAAATGCCAAAGCTGAAAAATAATGGAATGCTATGAGAGTATCAGAACAAGAAACATAAATGCAGGTTTTAAATCCAGGGTCCTGATGGGGAAAACATTTTTATTATGTTGTAGATTAATTTTTCTAAGACACAAAGAGTGTTTTTGACAAAAAAACTTAAGAATAAAGATTTTTGAAAATTTGAAAACTGGGGAAAAGGAGCGTATAAACCACACCTTTGCTTCTATCTTTTTCTCTCAGTTTTTTAATACTGTATTCAAAAATCTGGATGTCATTCACCATATTAGATAAATCAATTGTAAAACCTATCAAAAAATTGTTTTTTGCAGAGCCTGGCTCTAAAATGATTTCACTCTCAACATGAAAATAGCAAGTGGCTCAGCACTTAAGTTAAAATATAATTTTTTTAAGATTTAAAGATTAAAATTTTCAGTCAGGACCAAAGTTTGGAATTTATTACTGTATATCATCTTCAATCACAAGACTATTCATTTTCATTTTCATTGTTTAATACATTTATCCCAGATACACAAGAAAAATGTCACTTATTATTTTATGTATTTATTTTCTTAAATCATATAAGGATAGATTTAAGAGTATATATTTTTATATTTAATGATTTATCACACATAAAAAATGCCACTTATATTTTATGTATTTTATTATCATCAATCACAAAAGACTATATTTTAGGAGTTGATATGTTCATACACAAGAAAATCCCACTTATACGTACATTACTTTTTACGTCAAATATAAAAATTATTGTACCATGTTGCTGATTAGGAATCGTAATAACCAGCATTTTGATCAAAGAAAGCAGCAGAAACAACAAAAAAACCCAATAAAACAGCAATAAATTTAAGGTCAGTAAAGTTCAACTGAGGCTGATAATTAAATTCATGTGACCAATAAATAAGGGTAGCGGGCTATCTATGAACTATGTATAATACTGTATAGATTTGAATTATTATTTCACGAGACTTAGCTCATCTGTGTTGAAGTTTAATCTTTTGTTACATTTCTATTATTTTTTTATATCACTGTCTATCTTAGACTTGCCACAAGTCTCTGATTTATTGAATTTTTCCTAGTTTTAAAAACTTTCGGATGTTGAAATTGGATGGCGGAATTACAAACTTCAAATAAAGTATAGTATGGAACGCCTTTGGTGCAAAGAAGTAATATGGAACGCCATTGGTCCCAAAATATATTTACTTTTAATAGTTCTCACTGAAAGACAAAATTTAGGGACTGGAATCCTGTCTATGTTTGTCTGTCTTGCACTAATAAACTTAAACAATACATTGAGTAAATGAATTGTTTATTTGGTTAAGTCACTCTACTCCATCAAGCAATTAGTATAGTTGCATATCATACACTAGTGGAAAATTTTATACACAGGTTATATTATTGCATGGAAAAACTCCTTATAAGAGAACAGTTGTAGTAGAGCTATTCGGTAAAAGTGAATGAATTGTAAATATTATGATTGTTTTACATACTAAAATGTTTTTAATATTAAATAATTTATTTCAAGAAAATATTATTTTAATTTACTACTTCATGACTGCTTTGCCAAAATATTAAAACTGAGGGAGTGGTGGTTGTTTGAAACTATATACAGTAATAGCAACATGTTATCTATCGCAACAATCTATCACAAGAAAATCACATCAAATAATAGTATGTGGTTGTTTTAAGTGACAGTAACACAAAAAAAATGATTGATGTTTTGCCAACTACAGCAATAATAATTTGATGTGATGCAGACTTGTGGTCGGGCTTCGATTAAAATGTTAAAAATGTGGTCCGGGGGCGAAGCCCCCTAAAATTTTAACAATTTAGGGGTTTCAAAGGCTTATTTAATCGATTTTAGCGTCTACTAATTATGTAGAAAATACATTTAATTTTTTTTTCTCCTCGACAAACTGTGCTTTTTTTCTCCGAAGCACTCCCCAACGGGGGGACTGTGGTCCCCGGCACCCCGCTGGCGCCACCCCTGAGTGTGGGCCATAGGTCATAGGCCTATCTTATTATGTAGTTATAATGTTTCACTAAACAGTTTAATTTATGATAAACAGTAGCAGGACCTTACTCATTGCCATATATTTTCTATGGCATTACATGATGAATATTATAGGATAACTGAAAGGAAACCCATCTGCATATTTCAATATCTATTAAAATTACAGTTTATATGCCCAACATTTTAATTTTTTGTTAACCATTTGAACTATTATTACCTTAAACCAAGTAAAGAAAAGCAAGATGTCCGACAGCCCTGATTTTGCATGCACACTATAAAGCGAAATTACTACCACAAGATAGTGGGCACCCTATTAGAATTTGAATAGAGTTTGAAACTCGAACATGTGTTCTATGGAAGCAACATTTACTGTTTTTTTGAAGAACACCCTCTATGTCATAATACTACTTTTTGAGATAGGATTGCGTTTCAAAAAATGGCAGTCGGACCTCTCCTATTCTATATTCGCTGCTTTAACTGCTAAGTTACTGATTTTTAGAATAGGAGCTTAATATTCAAATTATTATAATTATCATTATCATTATCATTATTATTATTATGTTACTAAAACCTACCTTAAGGGGAACTTAGACAATGAAGAAATTAGAGAACAATTAAAAAAACGACTTTAAAGGGAAAATAACATGACGTTGAGGGGAAATTAACACAAAAGGTATTCCCCCTAAGTCCGAGTTAGTGCCATTATTATTATAATTATTATTATTATTATTATTATTATTATTATTATTATTATTATTATTATTATTATTGATATTTATAAAAAATTAAATAAAAAAAAAATAAAAATTCAAGATCTGTTACCCATACCATGTAATCTCGACCCCTGCAAAGAATTTCAGATGCGATGCCACTTAATGGACTAGTGGTGTCCTTAGGGTATAGCACCTCACTGTAAAGTAAAGTTAAAATCAATAAAAATAATATTTAAAAAAACTTGTATAACTATAATAATTTAATTTCAAAAACCTATTAAAAATCTAAATAAATGGGGGTTACTATTGCCACAGTTATGAGTAAAAGTATTACGGCTTCTGTGTACCAAGTATACAATACTGCCACATTTTATTTTATAATTACTCAGTTTAACATTTAGCGACAGTACGCTGGTTTGGGATAGCAAGCCTCAAATATATTAGGTGTATTCGACTGGTCTGTTTTGAGCAGCTCTTTCTACTCAAACTGCACATGTCGTATTCGATTGGTCGCACGAGCAGACCAAACTCCTCACAAGAGCGGCTCCAACTCCTCACTGTTTTTTAATGAGCACACCCACCGCTCCTTGGAAAAGGACCAATCGAATACGCCTATTGTTCATCTTAGTATTTAGAGTTTCGACCACTTATAACACAAAATTTCATATCATTTATTTTCACCAATTCAAAAAAAAAATATACAAAAGGTCAAAAAGGACAAGACAATACCCTTGTCAGTGGCAGGATAAACAAAAAGCAAACTTCATTGCTGTAGACAGTTTTTTTCCTCCAACAAAACAGTTACATTCAAAAAAACATTTAATATAAAAATATAGTATATAAATATATATTATAAAATTAGATATACTGACATGGCAAAATACAACAGGAACAAGCGGAATCACATTAAAAAGTAAAGAAAAATTGCAACAAACTAGCATTTCTCAAGCATTTTGAGGCAAGTTAAGATTTTAAAATTTTAGTCAAGTATGCCCACCTTTTTACCACCCAGCATCCTTGCACCAGCACAGCAACAGTTTGTAAAGTTTTCAGAACAGATGTAGTGTCAGGAGAACCATGTACAAACCTCATGATGTCACTGAATATCAGTAATTTAGCTGAGAATCAAGAATAGGAATCCACATCATAATACACACAAAATTGCTTGTTAAAGTAAAGCCTGGCACACCGACAGTGGCTTAACGTGGGGGGGGGGGGGGGGCTGGGGCTGTGGTTTTCTGAGAGTGGGGCCATTGTGGGATTTTAGATGTGCTCATTTTTTTTTTTTTTTTGGGGAATATAAAAAGTTAATATATTCATTTTTTGGTCACTGACGCTGCTTTGGGGATGGCAAGCCCCATATTATATGGTCATGATGCGACGTCATCATGACCACAAAAAACTGTTGTATGCCCATATATAGTCATGATGTGTCTATATATGGTCATGATGTGATGTCATCATGACCATATTTAGGCATGTCACATGTTTTTGTCAAATAAAATTTGATAATATGGACAGCGCTAAACTAACCATTGACCAGTAACAGACGGACTTGATCAGCAAGACCCAATGTCCGCAGCTGCACAAGAGAAAGCTCTTCTGTCTGACTCGTCTGCTTTCTCTCTTCTACAGCCTCTGGTTGCGCTAATAATGTCGATAAGTAATCTCTAGAAAAGAATAGCAAAGGTTGAGTATTCTTCATAATACATAACAAGTTGGTGAACATATTGTGGTTTTCGCCCTAATGTACTCTACATGAACATAAAAAATAATGATACAACACTAAAATAATTCAATAAAAATAATAACAAAGGATGTTAGTAAGGGAAATAATAAGTATTCTTCATTTATATAAAAAGTTGGTACACATATTGTTGTTTTTACCCTAATGCATTACTACATGAACAAAAAAATGATGAGAATACAATATACAAGTTTATACAACATTAAAATAATTCAATAAAAAACAATAACATAAAGGATGTTAATAAATAAAAGATAATATCCTTAATAAAAAGCAATAAATAATGAAGACTAATAATTAAAGAGGTCTTTAAGTTAGACCTAAAGACAGATAGCAAAGATCGAATGAACACTGGAAGGTAATTCCAGATAAATGGCATGTCACACAGAAAAAATTTGTTGCCAATACACTTGTTGAATATAGGCTGATGAAAATTTAAGTTCTGTTTCTGATTCTCAGTTAACTCGTAATGATAGGATTCATTTTAAGTTTTGTAGGTGTTTTGTTAAATCATTCAGCTACCTTCCCTTTAATTTCTCCAAGGTGATGGTTTTATATAATTATGTTGTTTCTGTATAAATGTGTTAATTCGTCCTTTAGCTATGATCTTGTTCAATTGGTTGGTCTTCATGTTAATTCCCGTAATTTGCATTGTTGTCCTGCTTTTAATGTCCCTTAATAATAGAGCTGATGTTTGTAAACATAATTTTTTTTTCTAGGATTCTATATCAATTCTATTTCTTCTACAAATGATATTAACATTTTTTTATAACTGTTTTTTTAACATTTTGAACACTAATATAAGAAATTTTGTTATTGTTTTGTGTTCTTTTATTATATATTATATTATATTATATTTATATGATGTTTGTGATTTTTGTTAATATTTTTATACCAGCCTGTTACTGGTGATAATTTGCTGTTGGATTAGAATAAATAAATAAATAAAAATTAAATAAACAAAATACTAAAATACAATGTTTTACACAAAGAGTAATAAGTTTTTCTTTGATATTAATGACTTGATGACACAACATTGAATTCTTGGAATTTATATAAAATGGATTATAGGCATATTGATTTTGTGTTTAAATGAAATGAGAAAATGCACATGTCACCTTCAATAAGGTACTAGAGTACAAGAACTGTATGAAATACAAAAGACTGTGCTATTTCCTAGGTTTATTATAGTGAATACAAGTTGTACATCTACAGTATTTTCAGTTTGTGCTTTTAGTAAGTTGTGTTCATCTTTCCACATATCTTCTTCTGAGTACCTCAACAACCCAAAACACTGCAGGTTTTACTTGCCCCTATTTTCTATTTTTTAAAATTTTGTTTTGCCATTTTATTTGCATCGAGAAGTTTGTGCACCACTCACAGAGCACAGATAAACGCTAGTAACTTCGTAAAGCGTATCCACTGTGTGTGTAGCTGAACCGTGGAGATCCTAGTTCCCTGGTCCAATCCCCATTGCTACTCTCTTTGTGTTTCAGCTGGAGAGCTGAAATACAAGTTAGGATAGCGTACCATCTTTCGGATGAGACATTTAAGCCATTGGTCTTGTGTGCAAAATGGCCCATGTGCACGTTGAAGATCGCAGTACACTCTTCGGAAAAGAGTAGGGGATTGTCTCCCAGTGTACTGTCCAATCACCACCAGAAGGACCCCAGTGGAAATAAGTCTGAGGACTTAGTGGGTTTCCTTGGTGTGATTCACACCAAAATACTCCTATTCTATCCTATCTGCAACTTTGTATTCACACTTTTCCTTTCAATTAAAATCAAATGAATAACTTTTAAATAACAGAATTCAATCAAAAATTACATTATAATAATATTTCCAAATTGCTTTATAATATTCCCAATTCGTTGACACAAAAAAGAAATTTCTGACTAGGATAATTTTTTGAATGCTTGTTAAGTTTTCGCTATCATCTCCAATTTCATTTTTAAAATAAAATTTGTCATATTCGTTACTTGGTATTTCACTCAGATACCATCATAATTGAATCTCAGATTTAAACTACTTTGTTGTAATTGAATTTCGAACTTAAAAAAATCCGAGAAATGATCCAATTTAAATTACAAAATTTCAAAACCATATTAATTCAGTCTCACGGTGAACCATGAATAATATTTTAAAGTAATGGATGAAAATTTACATCTTAATCACTATTTTTTTAAATGACTTTTATCAACCTGTATGTTCTACATCACACTTATTTATTTGATATGAATTTGAATTAAAGATCCATCGATTGCAACTTATATGTAACTGGCTATGAATTTTAAATAATAGTTTTGCATTTGTACATGGTAAAACTGTAGTTGACTGTCACACTAATTAATGTACTGTATGTTCAAATGGAAGCAAATGCAACACAGCATTCGCACCAACTTTCCACATTGCAATGTAATGTGCATAGAGACATGTCTGTGAATAGTGATGGGTATGGACACTCATTGTTACTCAAGGTTTGCAGAGAGCTTCTAAAACTTGCAAGTAAAGGCTTACAAATGTCAAGCTTGGTATTCTTAAAGATTGTCAATCTAGAGACCTTGTTTACGTTTAGGTTATAACGTACGCATTACTGATATGCGTTATACTCACATGCACAACACTGAGGCACTCGGTGTTTGGAGATTAAATTAAGAAGTTGTGTTCTAGTTCTCAAATGGGGCCTTAAGTCATCATGTGTTGTTATTACAATTTATATTTCACATCCAAAAGTACATAATAATGGGCTCGTCCAGGAATTGAACCCGGGACCTCTAATAACCTAAGCTACATTCATGCCTCTAGACAAACGAGCCATAGTTGATTAATTGTTTGACTGATTAATAGATCTTTTTTGTATGGGCCAACACACTCTACAGCTGCTATTATACTGCCCTCATTGGAGCTTTTGAGTTTACGAGAACTTGTTTTTTTGTTAAGAAGCTTACTTGTGAGAGAGGTACAGCTGGGAGACCTCTTGATCATCTGACTGGCATATCAACTTGTTTCGATCAGTAACACTTTCCTGGCTCTGTGGAGAAGCAAGGGTACCGAACTGATATTGAATACATGAGCAATGGCATAGGTTGGGGGGGGGGTGTTGGTCCATGGTAGCAAATTAGTTCCACTAAAGTGAGTTAAAAATACTAAAATGACCATTAAGTTTTCATTGGAATAAGCATTTAGTTCTGCATTCTTAACTTTTGCAACCCCAAGTTTCGGATTATTAATTTTAAATAAAAACATGAAGAAAAAAGATGTTTTGTTCAAGCGATCAACCCCTAATTTTGAGCATTTTGTCTTTTTTTTTTTATTTATTTATTTTTTTATTTATTTATTTTTTTTTGCAAACTATTTTTTTTCCTAGAACCCGAAAACCCTGTGCATGTCTAAAAATGGTTATGTGAATGCTTTAATACAATTGATACCGTAACCATGGACTTTAGCCCAGTAGTTACCATTTAACTAGCCAAAATAAATGGGGTCAAACATTTGATTTCAGGTTTTAAATATACTGCACTAAACAGTACTACAGTCTTTTTGATCTCAACTAGCCAACTGTTATTTTTTAAGTCACGGGTTTTGAATAATAATATGATAAATTGAAAATAGGGCAATAACAACAATAAATAACATGCAACTAAAATGAAAAACAAAAGACAAGACCGTATGATAAATTTAAAATATGGCAATAACAACAATAAATAACATGCAAATACAATGAAAGACAAAAGACAAAGCGCATACATCATGGTTCTGGTACTCAACGTTAGACCAAGCTTCCTGGGCCATCTTCTCTTCAATGTACTGAAATGAGGCTTCTCGGCGCGCCCTTGATTCTTCTGTCTCTGCTCGTGTGTACCGGACAGTCACCGCCTTTGGCTTAGCCTCTTCCTCATCTTGAGAAGATTCACCTAGAAAGTTTTACACATTTACAATTGAAAAATCGTACATATGGGTGTAGGTAAGGGGTGCAAACGCGCAATACTCCCCCTGCCCTCAATGACAGCAAATTAGCTCCACCGTTAAAATACTAAAAAAATAACCAGTAAGTTTTCATTGGAATAGAGATTTAGATTCTCAATTTTAGTACCCTAGCTGTTTTGCACCTTCCCCCACCCCCAAACCAAAATCAGCCTACCCCTCTGGGTAAATAATTGAACATTTGCGTATTGAAAATAATTTTACAACGAAATATGATAGAAACAAGTGTTTTAAAATTTTTATCATTATTCAATAATAAAATCATCGTACACATTTTCAAAATTCAATCATTTCTATGCTCAAGTTAAGATTTTGTATATTACTACAAAATGAGCAAGTTAATTACAAAATTATTTTTGTTCCAGCTCTAGCCACTAGGGCTCATACAGGTGGAGCCAACCCCAGTTTCTGTAGTGTGAAGCGATGAGAGTTGTACTTTCCCTGGACGGGACACTAGACCGAAGGAATAAAAACGATGAATACAACATTGATAGTAATGATTATTAATATAATATTTATTTATAATAATAATTATGTATGCCATTACTTTGTACAGTATTTTATTTTGTATGTATTTTTTTAATGCATTTTCTACATATTTAAAGTTTTTCATTGTTGTTCTGGTATTCACTTTTGATATTGCATCTATGCCTGATACATTCATGTTCATGTTTCAATTATGAAATTAAAGTTTATAATTTGGAAACTGAGTTAACAATTCCAAGTTGTCTGTTGAAAGTGCAGTTGATTGGTCCAACTAACCCTCCATATTTGCCTTTTCTTCTCTTAGCCTGTTGTCTGCTCTATCCAAGTACTTGAAATTAGGTCGAAGTTGAAGTATGCCATGGAGGGGTGTCAAATGTAGCTCACCTAGAGTGTAAAATTCAACAGAAACTTAATACAAAACAGCGACATAAAGACTTTTTTTTTTTTTTTTTCGAAATATATACAATAAGACTTTTTTTATACCTTGTTTCGCAAACTTATTTTTTAAAGATCATCAGGAGGGTGGAAAAAAAATACAAATACAATTCTGTTTTCTTATTTAGCAAATAGTTTTGCAAAACATGGAGGAGAAAATAAAAATTTTATTGGTAAATGTAAACAATGTAGTAATGGGGTGGTTAAATGTTTTAATTTATATAATTAGGAAGAAATATATATCTTACTTTTGGAGATTTCATGGCAGTGACAGACGTAATAAAAATAAAAACATATTTTTTTCTCTGAAAATTCAATTGGCCTAAACCTTTTATTTTTATTTGAAATCATCATTATTGGTGGGCGATGGGATTGCTAAAGAAAGTATAAAAAAAGGTCTTGCCTAATTTAATGTGTTACAAAATGGTAATATTATCTTTCTTTCAAATTTTTATCACACCTTCAGTTGCCATGAAATCTTTCAATAAGAAAATTTCTTTCTCACAAATTAAATAAATATAAATAATCGAGCGGTTATGGCAGGGGCGACGCAACGTACAGCGATAATATCGGCACTGGTTCTGGTGGTGGAACAAGTATTCTCGGATAGAACTATAAACTCTAAGCACAGTATACACAATTTGGCTCATGTGCACTTTAAAGAACCCAGTACATCTTTCGAGACGAGTAGGGGGTTACCCAGGAGTACTACTTCATACAGCCCCTAGTGTGGACTGACGTGATAGCTGGTACCGGTTTACCAGGTAGCTCAGACACGAAGAGACCATTAGAGAAACAAGTTATTGTATGAGCTGAACAATCTAAAAACAGTCTGCAACAGAAATGCTACATCCCATTCTTTACAGCCCCACAACAGCATCTAGAGAAAATGCATCAGTTTCATATTTGTTTTTTCTCCTCCACCTAAATGATTTTTTTTTCCTGCCCTCCACTGAAGATCTTTTTTTTTTCTGCCCTCCACTGAAGATCTTTTAAAAATAAACTTCATTAAACAACTGAATAACTGCAGTTGATTAGGGACCATAAAATGTGTCCTCTTAACAGGGGTATCCCCTTAATATGGCTACATATCGTCACGCACATCACAAACTAACAAAATCAAAGTAAATTGTGTTAGTTCGTGAAATCAGAGTATCGCGTCAAAACAAGCGTGTATTGGTTGTAAAGCACTTTTGTATTCTTTAAAACACAAAAAGTTGTTAACAACAATAGCACGTATTTTGACGCGCTTTCTTGATTTCACGAACTAACACAAACTACTTTGATTGTGTTAGTTCGTGATGTGAATGACATTTGTTTTGCGGCCAAAAAAGTGTCCCTTTAATAGGGGTGTACAAAAGGAGATGTTCTACTGTATTCAAAAGAACAAAAACAAAAAACAATGGAATTTAAAGATAAGAAATCTAACAATTCTGCTGGAACTTGTTTCCAATGTGATTTTGTGTGTGTAAAAAAATGTATATCTCACCTTCTTGGATCATGCCAACAGCATAGCGATGAATCTCAGAGGGGACCACAGCATTAGAGGATGTTAGAAATTGTTTATTCATAATACCGCTGAAAAGATGATTAATTAATCAATTCATATATCAAAGAAGGGCAGTACTTATTCCAGGCACTCATTGGCCTAGTTCAGACTAGGTGGATAAACTGGGCTCAACTCACCGGGTTTATCCACATGCCAGTCTGAACTAGGTGGCTTATCTCAAGCCGGGATGTGTTCCTATAGTAACTAGGCCTGGCGTGCCACCGTGTTTAACCTTTCTAAGCTGGGCTTTAATCGCTGCGGGGGGTCTTGCATTGACTTCCGGTAAAAAAAATGACCAATCAGCATTAAATTACGTACGCTGTGAGCAAGCGTACATTTCGAGCCCAATGTTTCCAAACTCGTTTCCTGGTTACGGTTCATTATGCTAATTCTCGCACTTGGCTAATCCCGCTAGTCTGAACGCCTGGAAAAGTTAAGCCGGGCTTAACGTTGAGCCGACCTTAACTCAAGCCTGGCTTATCTCCAAGTCTGAACGTAGCCACTGTGTCATACAATGGTTGTTTGACGGTCGTACAAATCAAACTCCGCTCCCTCTTAGTGCTAGACAATGCGACTTTGCTGATGATTGTCATTAGCAGTCTAAACGAATCTTCATTAAAAACGAACCATTGTGCACAAGTCGTTGCATTGCGTTTTCCATAGAATCGCGTTGACCAACAAAAATCGGCCACAGTAAGTGCCAGGCTTTAAGAATAATCATTATGAAGACATTTTATCTATTAAGACTAAATAACAGTCATGAATACTTTTATTAAATTTACCTTTTGAAGATCGAGCCTTCACCTGGAAAAGCACCATCAACATTGCGAGCAATCTGTTCACCTTTGCTATGTGAATAGTTCTCATTGCTTGTATCCATCAATAGTTCAATCTCAACCTAGAGAATAACTTGCAAGTGTTATTATAGTATATCATTTTTTATGCTGATGACAACAGAATGAACTTTCTACTTATAGTAATTACTAGGACATATCAATAATTTATCAATATGATGGGTTAAGACTATATGCATAGCATTAACAGGCCTCCAAATTGGTTCTAAAAACAGAACTTTGTAACGCCAAAGGGTTGTGGGATAGATAAAATTCGAACAAACATTTTTAAGAATCACCCTGCAAAGCTCCTAACAATGGCCTGGATATGTATGGCAGAACTTGTGTGTAATATAAATCTTTGTTTTCATATTTTCAACTTAAAAATAATTAGTGAGGCATTTATCCATCTTTTCCAAGGTGTTGCCACACATCTTGTCCGAACTTCAATTCCATCATCTGCTCTGCAGACATTTTTGTGATGTATGCAGAGTTATTTCACCAGTTTGATTTGGATATATATATATGTGGCAAAGACAAGCCAAACCAGTCACTCGTCGCAAAAATCGATTTTGAGTTAATAATACAGGTTTAGAGAGTAAAATAATAGCTATAAAATGGTAAAAAAATCATTCAAATCGGACATTTCCTTATGAAGTTACAAGCGTTTAACCACACAGTTGTTTAAAGAACAATATATGAGAAATTAACCGTCAAAGTTTATGGGCATTTGCCATGCATCAAGAAATAGTACTGCTTGATACACATGCGCATGAGTGTGAAAAAATTAGGTTTTTCAATCGGATTTGAATTCCCAACAAAGCCTCAATGGCCTAGTTGATTAAAACATCTGCATAGACAGCAGAGGGTCTTGGGGTTTAATTCTGGTTAAGGCAACTACTTTTTATTACCCTCGCAGATTCCTCTTCTTTAACATTCAAAAATGTATTTATATATATTTACAGCATTACCGCAGGACGATTATCATATCATTATATATATATATACATATATAGAGATGCAGTTGAAATGCTATTTTAAGAATTACCGGTGACCTTTAATAAAAAAAAAAGATAAAATTTTTAAGCCATTACTTTGTTAAGTGCAGGCCTGGTACTAAATGGGGGGGAATCAGGTCTGTGTAATCAAGCCTTAGTTGTTTTCTACTCATTTACTGATATCTCAATCTGATAAAGTGTTTATCTTCTTGTAGAAATTGTTCTCTATTCCGTGGGTTTTGAAATCACAATGATAATCACCAAAAACAATCGGGTCAAAAAAAGGAAATCAAATATTTTTTGGTATTTTATCTTTAGTTTCAACATTGACCTCCACAAAATCTATTGTTGTCACAACCTACTGACCTCTAAGATTTACATAAGTGCTAGGCTAGCTCATCTGGACAGAAAAACAAACACAATGCTGGTTAATAGGCAACTTGAGGGGCACATAAAATACGCATTTTATTGGCCTAGGATTTTACCAATCTTTTTATCATGTGTGTCCAAGATAAACATTGGACAAGAGGTCAGCTGTTTGTGAAACGACTTACTTTCTGTTGAACAGGTTTGATTCGAACAAGATCACGATCAAAGTCATCGTAGGGCATAGAAGCTGGTCGCACCGGGTACTAAAACACAAAAGAATTATATTATTGATTATCATTATTATCACATTATGGTATTGAAAAATAGAAAAAAAACGTCAAAAATTGAACCAAAAGTCCTGGCAGGCCATATAAGGTGCTATCCTGATTGCGCCATAAACAATAAACATTATTTCTATTTTAATATTCCTTATATATGAAATATATATTCATACATATACACACATACGATTTAATACATAATGTTTCTGTATATTTGAGCACTATATTTTTTATCTGTTTGAATCATACAGTATTTGTGTCCCCAGTGCCAAACAGCACCTTGATTTGAATACCATATACTTTATAAAAAAATAGATAAATAATAATAATAGTGGCCTCAAATTTAAAATTGTATCAAGCAGCCCTTCAACAAAAAGTTCTTTTATTAAGATGTATGAAAAAAAGTATTTCTGGCAGGATTCGAACCTACCACCTCTCACTATCAAGTCAAGTATCCTACCCATTATACCACAGAGACCTATAAAATATATATACTTAAAATTATTATGTTATTACTTTGTAATTTCAAAATCAGTTTTCATTATGGCAATGGGGAAAAGCACAATGTTCCGCTTTACAGACATAGTAAGTCTAGTTTATTTGTTTTATATTGCATTTTTTCATTAGTCTACAATTTTCGTAATTTAAAACTATTGTTTAAAAAAATAATTAAAATTATTATTTTGACAATAATATCAAACATTTTTGGTCTTCTTGTGTTTATTAATTATGTCATTTAAGTTTTGATTGATTTCATATCGACATACATGAACATCAGAGATATTATTTTCACCACTTCATATATTTATCACCTCAGTATAAGATTGATCCAATAAATAAAACAATAATATAGTCAACCAAAGAAATAATAAAGTCAACACCATACAATTTTATATGAATGATCACATCACCATGTGGTTGATCCTATAGAGTAATTAAATACTACTTAAATTTTATAGATTTTTTTCTGTATTGTTAATTTACCCTATTTTCTCTTTAATATATTCGTATAAAATACAGATAAACATTGATAGCCTTTTGAGGTCAAACTTCTACTAAATAGAAAGGTTGTAAAATTAGAGAATATTTGTTAGGTTACAAAAGTGTAGACTCAAGATATAGATTTTAATGTACACATAGCTTTATATAATACACCTTCAAAAATACTCAAAAATTTTACAACTCTTATACTGGTATATAAATTTATCAATGTTATAAATAAGCTGTTTACATTTCTTAAAACAAATTCACTAATATTTTACAACTGAATTTTATTATTTCCATATTTGATTAAGACTTTTATCATTACAGTAATTTTATTACCTTACCTAGGGATTTTAAATTTTTCATTGTGATTTTGTGTTTTAGATTAAGCTTTTTATCATTTTGGTAATTAAGTCTCTTTTCAATTGTTTCAATATGCAACTTGTTTAATATTTTATATACTGTAATTTTGTATCACAAAACAGGACCATGTGTAAAACAGGTTGTTATGAACCCTCCTGATATGTTATCTTGTATAAATATGTTCAATAAATAAATAAAATAAATAAACCATCAACATTCTAGGTCCAATTCCTGTTACACTACAGTACTCCCATAAGCCCAACTAAATGAGACTTAAGCCCCTTTTAGACAGAAAATACTGCAATAATACCGTAGTCACGCCGGCGCTATTGCCGGTGTAGACCCTTTCACACAATTAATAAAAATCCGGTATTAAAAAGAGGGCGCAATTTTATATGGCAACTGTGATCTAAAAACAACTCTTCACACGTTCAACAAAAATGTTTTGCACTTTGACCTCTGATTTGTTGTGCTTCAGTGTGTAAGACGGCAATAAACCGCTACGGTATTAATGTGCGGTATTTTGACTAGGTCTCGAGGAGGTCTAACCTAAGCCGGCGTTTAAGCGTTTTTACCCTTCACATAGAATGCCGGCGTTTGCGAAAAACGCATTAATACCGAATTGCAGCTCTGTGTGAAAGGGGATCTAGTCTTTTTAGGGTGTCTTTTGAAGGGATTAAACTTTGAAAAGTGATAAAGTTTGTTAGCCTTTGTTAAATAAGAAAAAGTAGGTGTAGGAATGCGACATTTTCTCATACAGGTCTCCCTCTAATTAAAGACCCCTCCCATCAAGACCACCTCCAAATAAGGACCACTTTTCTATGGTCCCTAACTTACACATCTTTTATCTTTACTATACTAATTAGAGACCAAAGCTGTTAAAGACCATGGAGGAAACCTCGGTCCCAAAAAAGTCCTTAATTGGAGGGAGAGCTGTTAATTTCTTTTACATATTTTTCTGTAGGGTTTTAAAAAAAAAAAAGTATTAAAGGTAGGAGAATAGACCTAACCCATAACTCGCAACTCACCGTGCAGAATTGCATACAGTGTGCGCGTGGTCCGTGACTACCTAGTCGACGCAAAGAGGCGCTTATAGTAGCTACATGGTCACGTCATTCCACAACGACAGGGAGTGAAATGAACCATAGCAGCATTGGGGTAACCCCTATGCTCCCCAGAGATGCAATGGGTTCTTTAAAGTGCACACAAGCCAAAAGCATACAACTGGACCTCCTCTACCAACCGAGCCCTGGGCGAAGAGCGGCTGGAACCAGTGCCGATGTTATGGCTGTGGATTTTGAAGTCACAGAGCAAAGATAAAAAAGTCTGTTTAAAGATATTACCTGGAAGAGGTACAGGTTATCTGCTAGGCTCTTTGACAAGAAGACATCGACCTGAAAAATACAAACAAATCAATCACTCAATCAGTCAAAAAAGGATTTATATAGCGCTAATAATACCCACGGCAATAATAAAGTAATGATCGATTGTTTGAACAATGGGTGCAATGCCAAACCTTTCTCTCACACCTAAAAAGAAAGTTCTTCCTTTTGCTTCATAATTAGTCTTTTCTATGGTACAGATTATCATCAGAATTCTAGGACTGAGTTTATGGGGTGCCCATTGGGAAAGCCTCCAATACTTTCATTCACAGGCCTGCCCAGGATATGGGGGGAAAAAAGTGCGGGGCATTTACATAAGCGAAGTCCACACTACACCATGGTTATGGCTGAGGTGAGGAAATGGCCTCCTTTTGGAAAGTTAAAAAAAAGAAAAAAAAAAAAAGGACGAAAGAAAAGAAATAAATGACAGTCCAAAACGCCTCAGAGGTTATTTTCAGGCATCTATAAAACAATTTCAAGGGGGAATTCCCCCAAACCCCCTAGGGTAGTGCTGTCTCGATCGGTGTCACTTTTGGCCTCCTCCTTTCAGACATCTCTCTGGATCCGCCCCTTAATGCAGGACACTGTCTGCATTCATTTTCTTTTCTCCTAATCTATGTATGCTTGGAGAAAGCCTAAAAAAGACAGTGGAAACCATGATTTTCTAAGCAGATTCCATATTAGGCAAATTTGCAGGCTTAATGCTTTTGCTCTGACATCTCCTTCTCCTGGTGAGAAGGGAGGGGAGAGTTCAAAGGGGTGGGGTTCGTTAACATACTGTAGGCCTAGTTTAGTATTAATAATAGGCCCATCTTATACACTGTTGTGTTATGTTAATTCCATATTTAAAGTGCCTTGGTAGGTCTGTGTGATTGTGACATACTCTCGTGTAGGCTTAGCCCTGTAAGTAAATTTGTTGACAACTTTCAGTCTGTTCTTATTCTCTCTAGGCCTAGCCAATTGTCTAAGCTAAGTCTAAACTAGGCCAAAACACCGGCATATTAAGGCGGACACCCTACATGCTTTCGCGTGCAATTCATCGTACACATGGGCTTAGCACAGATGACATTTTACAGGACAAAGAGCTCAAAATATCTGCACGTTGCACTAGGAAAAGGAATATACTATCCATTAAATTAAAACATCATTGTACAAAAATCATTAATACCCATGTGGTAAAAAATTACGGTAAGATTTAGCAGTACCTCCTCCACTACTGGGTCGTCTTCCTCCATGACTGATGAGAGGAAAGCCTGCCTGGTAAATATTTCATGAGTGAGGGCGCAAGCTTAAAAAAATCTAAGTCTGTGCTGAGCGCTAGCAATATCATCAGTCAGTCAGTCAGTACCAGAAACACAGTGTGAGAAGAAATAGGCATGGCCTGTGCTGAAAGTACACTTCCGGGTTAATTTATTGTTTACATTACAGATAAAAGCCGAGCACAGAGCGATAAGTGAGAGCTTGAGCGGCCAAAAGCAACATTTTAGCTGGGCGTTTTGAAACACTTGGTCGTTTTCAGCTGACTTTTTAATGCTGAGTGCAGCATAGGACTTTGGAAACATGTTGCTATCAGTCGAAATAGTTTTTGGTGAACAGAAACTGAGAGAATTCGCCCTGCACGAAGCTAATCCCGTTTGCACTGTCTACGAGCTTTTTAAGTCTATTGTCACTGGGCAAAATTCGTCGGCAGAAACCTTTGTCTTACCGCCTGAACTAAGACATTTACCCGTCGTCGCCGCCGTCGGAAACTCGATGGAAGTTTCCGCTTTCCAAAATTTGCCATTACATAGCTTGATAGGTGATGTGTCCGAATTTGGCAAGTACTTTCGTTTTTCTGTCAAAGCTATTTCGCAGTCCCCGCAGCCGTCAACTGTTGACATTTTTGACTGTATAATAAATGACTGCCATAACATGAAAGATGTTCGGCGGGCGGCGGAACGGAGTCCGGCGTTTCGGGAAGCGATTCAACACGTCTTAAACGATGCAGGTAGGCGAGAAAAAAGACATGAAAGAGAACACCCTTCTGTCCGCCTCCTGTCAAGTGCTTGTAGCACACCAAGGTTGCAGTATGAGGTAGTGGAACCTACAATGCCCACACCAATACCGATGCAACAAGAAGAGCCCAAGACCCCTCCAACAGCACCTCAATCTACAGCAGATATTGACATAGACCGTGAACGGGATCGTGAGCGCGAAATGCCAGTCGTCACTGCTGGCAATGGATCTGAGGACGGTGTACAGAGTAGTAACGGTGCAATAAATTTGATAACTATGAACCATTATATTGAGGCATACAATAATGCCAACTCTCCCCCTAATATGCCAAAGATTGCTGTGCATGGAATGCCCTTTAACCCATCCGCACAAACGTGTAAAACAGTACAGCGTGTTGTGAAATGCGTAGAATGTGGGAAACCTCGCTGCCTCTATGCGCAAAAGAAAGTAACTGATGAACAGAAAGTTCAACTGGAAGAAGCGCTGGATGGATTGCAGTATACATGTGGATCAAGTCTGCATGATTTTGCAGATGTGGACGATGATAATCATATTTTTAGTCGAGTGTATGTCAGAAAGAACTTAATGTGCGAGGATCCAGTTGAGGTTCCGTACTATGTTAGTGGTCTCTTCCCTGAAGTTTGTCTTCACTGCGTTGCGACGGAGGACCTGGTTCATGACGAAGGCGAGACTGAATTGCATCCTGTTTGTAGGAAGTGTTACACTGATCCAAACAAAAAGAAAGTTCCGGTAATGCGGTGGAAGCGCCGACGATCTGGACATGAAGAGCCGTACTTCAGCATGATGATGCCCGGCATCAACCCCAGTTTGGCACTAGGATTTCGACCACCTCCCGAGTTTTTGACCGAGTTCAAGCAGATACCAATTGCCATATCGCAGATGCATTAATAGGTGGGTGTGCCGGTATGGTCTCAAACTTTGCCATATTACAGCAGCCATTCCAAGGCAAAACAATGCAACTTTATCAACATTTTTATGAATTGGTAAAGAGAAATGGGGTTGATGAGTGGAATGCATCGAGCTTTGAAAAATCCATTTTGGAGGATAATCTATGAATTTGAAATTATTAGGCTAGATATGGCTTTAAACAAACAAAGTCTATTAGATCCCAATACCTGTCTCTTATACACATCTAGATGTGTATAAGAGACAGCCCCATGACTATTCCAATTTAATTGCATTATAGATTGTTTGTTTAGAGTGAATTACTACTAAAAATCAATAGATTGTTTTAGAGTGAATTGCTACTAAAATCAGGCAATGCTGTTTCATTTTAAACATACAATCCATGACCCACATATTAATATGGAGCTGTAAAATCACTTGTGACATTCTTTTATAACAGCATGCCAAAACTGGGCAAAATCGAGTACCCATTCAATTAGGGAGACATTTATTATACAAAAAAAAAACGTAGTGCAACTCATAAAATTGTACATTTTTATCTTTTTTTATATCATGTTGTTATTTTATAATCTTTTTTATTTTACTCATTCCAAAATCCTCCATTATTAATTTGATGACTTTTTCTGGACTCCTTTTTTGTGAATAGTGTTCATTGTTATGTACTGATACCAAACATGGTGGAGAATTGGTGATGAGAAAGTTAACATGTTACTTGAATGTTAAATTTTAACCCAAAGACAAAAACATATCTGATAATAATTTTAATATGTAGATAGGCCAAGGGAAGAAAGCAACTTGTGCTGTGTGCTATTTATTTGGTTAATTATAAACAAAAATTAATTAAAGTAATGTCTATAATTATTGTAGTTTTATAGATAGATAGAGGACTGTTTTGTCTTCTGGTACTGTACTGTATACAGAATTTAATGCTAATGTGATTTATTATAGTAAAAAATTGATAAAATATTTTAAAAAAATGAGGGATTTGTTTACATGATGTAGAAAATTAGTTTATTAGTTTATATGATGTAAGATTTTGTATTACCCTCATCTACTAAACTGATTTTCTTAGATGTGTGCAATAGGATTCGATAAAGTGAAGGGTTGATCTTTTTGTAACTTAACTATGTTTTTTCCCCCTTTCAGGAATAAAAATATGACATTTGACAAATTTATATTTTTCACAAAAAATGATTGCTTAAATTTTGTTTGTAATTTTATCCTCTGAATTCGGTTACAAAAAAAAAATCAGTATTTTGAATTTTGACAAAAACATTGTGGAATTCAATGAATAATATTTATTATATCATGAATTTGTAAACAGAACAGTGTCTTAATTTTGCTCACAATAAAAAAAAAATGGTGGAAATTGTCTGTTGAATGCAAAATCTTACAATTCTATTCTAATGAAATGAGAATTTAGGTTATTGGACTATCGGTTGAAACAAAATCCTGCACATTAGATTATCAGAAAAATGCTGATTCTATTTAGCGGATAATTTTTCTGGCCAGTATTTACACATTTCATATCAGGTTTATTTTTTTCATCAGGGTACAGTATTCATAATGTAGCTATTATGTTACCATTTTTATTTGCTATTCCAAGTTTTATTCCCAACATTTCTGTCTGCTAAAAATATTGAGGTATTCATTTATGAATGATCGTGTCGCACATCAAACAATATTGCAATATGTGTTTCTGAAACTTGATGCCCGCACGAACTCCTTTTACTCCTGCATCCATTGGCAAACGTGAAAAAATCAATTATATCTACATTAGAAGTGCTTCAAAGGACAGTAATGCTAGGACTGGTGTTACCCGGTGTTACATCATTATATTCGTAATGATTTTTTAGCGTACTTGCTTCCTTTTTTTCTCTGGCAAATATTGAACAAGTGCATTTGACGTAGCTGGGTTGGTCCTTGGTCGGTGCTCGTTCATCCAATTATTGAATGAAGCATCCCAATATAGGTAGAATTCTTTGTAGGATCATTAATTATTGATCAGAAATCTAATTTATGCAGTAAGATGCGGAGACGGTGAGTTCACCCGTTCCGCAATCCTTTTGTAGATCCGAAAGACGTAATTTATTTTAATAATTCTTGATTGCGAATTAATGAAAGGTAGCTGTAAGCAAGTGACTACAGTTTTTACTTCATGAATCGGTTCAAGTGAAATGTGATTTCTACTAACTTCCATCATCAATACCAAATCTTTTTTAATATTGTTTGTCTGGTGCGATATTATATGACAATTTTTTTTAAGTCATACATAGTTTTTCAACAGCTAGGATTTTATATATCCATAAGACTACTGTATACAAGTAGTTATTTGATTAGAGGGAAATAAGACACAAAGTACGCTTGTAAACACAATTATTGAGCACTGTTTCTAACCAGCTGCTAGTGTTCTGTATGGATATTTCAAGAGTTTCATGTTCCACTCTTAATGAGAAATAATTTATAGCCAAAAAATACTGTATACAACACTTCAAATTATCAAATGCTTTAGAACGTTCTCAAACAAATTTCTCCATGATAAAGAAAACGTAATGTTTTAGGCCACTTCAATTAAGTGTTCTGTTGAAGGTTTAATCGGCGTTTCAAATCCAATTTCTATCAATTTTGAAATAAAATTATAAAATTATAAAATTATGCGGCTTCGAGATTTGATGTTGTGGAGGGTAACTCAACCTATATATAAACAGGCTATTAATCATGAAGGTATGTTCATTAAGTCCATGACTATTATCAAACAAAAATCCTTCACACTCTATTTTTCATGGCCGCATTATTTTCTTGTCTGATGAGTTTTTTGATTAATTATTTACTTGTCAGCATTTCGTAAGGGTGGTCCAATTAGTTTACTTCAACGTATGACACCCTCTTGGGAAAGCGTATCAAGAAGATCTGTTATATTTGCCATATATCCATATTATTAAGTAAGCACATGAAGAATTTTCATCATTTTCTCTGATGGAATTAAACATACAGTAATCTAAACAAATTCATGTCAATGATTTACTATTGCACTCTATGATAATACTTTTTTGCTGTGTGAATTGACTAATCAAATGAAACTTGGAATAAATATCAGATTTTGAACAAATACAGTATCTGAAACAGAGAAATTATTTTACCTTTGATATGATAAATATTGATTTTTTTTCTTGACAGCTCTGCTTCCAAAAAGATATATGATTTTATAATTAATTTAATTAATGTAAAAACAGCTTTAAAGATCTTAAATAAAAATACCTGTAAATATATCCATCTCCCATAGTGACTATCATTTATATATCTTCCTCGGTCAATACTATTAAAAAATAACTGTAGAAACAAAATATTGAAATATTTTGTCAGTTTTATCTGTCTTATGTTAGTAATGAATCTAGTTACAATTTATGCTTTGATATCACTTAGTGTAAGTATTAAGATCATTAAATATTCTACTAGTAATCTCTACTAAATTGCTTTTAAATTCAATGTAATGATGTTCTAAACTGCACAGAGTTACCACACAAAATCACCACAATGCAACAGTATCCAGGTTTTCCGTAGAAAATATTCACCTATAAGAGAAAAAAATTTAATTACCGATAACTTATCAACATTTTTATGAATTGGTAAAGAGAAATGGGGTTGATGAGTGGAATGCATCGAGCTTTGAAAAATCCATTTTGGAGGATAATCTATGAATTTGAAATTATTAGGCTAGATATGGCTTTAAACAAACAAAGTCTATTAGATCCCAATACAGGTTGAAAATTATCCAGAATTCTCCATTTTCTCATTAATTTTTCAAATTCTCGGTGAGGCTATAGGGAAATGTATAATTTTAATTTGGAAAAATAAATTCTACATAATAAAATTAATGGCTGTATTAATAAACCTGCTTTATATATCGATGAACTTTTATTATCAGATTATGGACAATTACTTTATATAGCTCTGCCAAAAATAAATTGTATTTTACTATGGAAATGTTTGGTTTTCTATGTGTTTTCTTAGTATTTTTTTTATGCATCAATGGAGATTTATTTTTCCTTTTTGTGAGGACCTGTTTTTTTTTGTGATGGTTCATGTGGATAAGGTTTCACTTAGTACAATTGATGTAAATTTACTATTCAATATTAACCTGCTGTTGTTTGTCAATTCTCTTTTGATATTTAGTCAAGCTCCCAAAATAAAATTCAGAGACTGTTGTGATGTTCGAGTAAAAACTCCATGTACAGTACAATATTCCACTTTACTGACTCGGTGACAAGCAAAATGTTCTTACCTAAACACTTAGTTATCAGTAGATATTTTTAAGCTAAATCTGACATTTACTTCAGTACTATTATATCCATTTGAAACTTAAAACTTATATATATATACATATATATATATACATATATATATACTATGTATATGTGTGTATAGGGTATA